CCCTCTCATAACCCTCCCACTGAATTTTGTGCATTCTGTCATATATGTTAAGGCCTATTGAGTCTAGTTTGTATACCCAGATGTCCCTCAGTGCAAGTTCATCCACATTTATTATTAAAATACTAAATAAAATATTTTTCTAAAAGCCTAAGCTGCTCATTTTCTGATATGTAGGACACATATTGTTGGACAAAGATGTGAGCAAGATAGGGGAGAAATCATGCTGTGTGGGTAGAAAACAGCACTTCCAACATTCATTCAGTAGAAGAACCAGTGGAAGAAAGAAGCACAGCTCAGAGCTCTGCAGCAAAAATTTGGAACCTGCAAAGTGATGGAAGGAGAAGCAGGAGTGACGACCCAAGAATGAGACTCCCTGACCCTCAGCACTCCTGCTTCTGTCCCCTACTGTTTCTGCTTGCCTATCCCTCAGCCAAGACAGGGACAGTGAGTTCTAGTGTGCTTTCTGTACTTTTCCATGAATGTGTGTGCAGTTTAAATTGAAGTGGAAAGGAGAGAAGATATGATTCTGTTCTGTAGAGGAGAGAATATAAGAAAACAATTTTAAAATACTGTATTTATTGGGGGCTGGAGAGATGGCTCAGTGCTTAAGAGCACTGGCTGCTCTTCCAGAGGACCCAGGTTTAGCTCCCAGAACCCATATAGTGGCTAACAACCATCTGTAACTAGTTCCAGGGGATCTGACCTCCTCAGGCATTGCATGACACACGTACACTTACATACATGCAAGCAATACACTCATACACATAAAATAAAAGTTAATATTTTTTTTGTCTTTTTGAGACAGGGTCTCCTTGTAGCCCCAGCTGTCCTGGAACTATGTAGTCCAGGCTGGTCTCAAACTCACAAAGATCCGCTTGCCTCTGCCTCTCAAGTGCTGGGATTAAAGGCATGTACCACCATTTTAAAAATATTGTATTTATTATTTTTATTTATGTGTACATATGTGTGTGTCTTTTCATGAGTTTACGTGCATCACATGCATGCAGGTGTCTTCAGAGGCCAGAGGGCAGTAAATCTTCTAGAACTACAGTTATCGGTGGTTGTGAGCCACCTGAATTGGGTGCTGGAACAAAACCTGTGTCCTCAGCAATAACAGTAAGCACTCTTAACTGCTGAGCTGTCTTTCCAGCCCCAAGAAAACAATTTTAACTATCACTGAATATTGATTTCTAGTTTTAGAAATCGCTTTCACTAAGTCACAGTTAATAAAAAGATTTCTTTGTAGTTGAATTCTCCCTTCCCCCTTTCCTTTCTTTGCTTGTACTCATTTTTTTTTTCCTGCCTGGTAACCTCTTTTTTTCTCCCTTTAATAAGCAGAACTTCCTTTAGATTTGACTCAACACTTAGCCCTAGCTGGCCTGGAACTCACTATGTAGACTAGGCTGGCCTCCATCTCACAGAAATCCACCAGCCTCTGCCTTCTGAGTCCTGGGATTAAAGGTGTGCCCCACCATGCCCAGCCTCAACACTTATTTTAATTTATCCAGCGTGCACAATGACACGAACATGGGTCAGGTTTGGTCCCTGCTTTAAAGAGCCTTCAAGCCAGTGGTGGGGAGGAGAATGGGATATTGATACACATGCAACACAGACCACTAAGGGAGCTGTAAGTAATGCTTTGAAAGTTTAAAACTCTTTCTTGTTCCTATGTGTGCATCTGTTAGTTGAAGGACCAAGGCATTCTGAACAGATATCTTCTCTACTTTGAGAAGCCATGGAGCATATATTAATGTTTCCATACCCAAGTGGTCCTATTGAACCTGGGATACTTATTTAACACTCATACTAATTGACCATACCCTGAACCACCTGAATTTGAATCTCTTGATTTTTCCCTTAATTCTGATATATGCCCATAAGTTCAAGTCATAGTATTAGTTTAAAAAAAGCAAGTGCTTAGACTCTAGAGAGTAATCAAATACTAACCCTCTGCTCTACAATGTTTTGCACTGCCTCTCCTTTGAGTCTCACTTTAGTCATCTGTGAATCAGGATTAATGTTCCTCTTTTATAAGGTTGCATCATATCAAGACTTCAACAAAATACAGGAGTAAAGTGTTCAGCTTGTTTCCTGGGGTAAATTAAATCTTAAAATGTCATTACTATTATTCAAATGAGGGAACAACTATATCTGATTGTAGGATTAGACATTCACAAAGCTCTGGGTAAGGCCAACATTCCCCTCAGGGATGTGATACAGTTCAGCTAAATGAATTGAGCTTTTAATTTGTGCCAGGTATTATGGGAGCCAGAGACTTGGAACTGAGTGGAGTGTGGGGAGAAGGAATGGGTTTTGGGTTGGTACTAGATCCCACTGGCAGGTGGAAAGATGGGTCTAGAGTTGGGCTCATATTAAATTTGAGAGCTAGAATTACACTGAAAGATGAAAATAGGGGCCTTGGAAGAGGAGAAAGATGTTACAGGAAATAGGCACACTTTTCTTCAGGAATCTGGAGGAAGAAGGGCCAGAAAAGGATGCTCAAAAGATGTGGTTAGAAAGGCTGGGAAAACAAGCCTTTTGGTAGGTGGAATTAAATACCACCCCATGATTTATAAGGAGAAAGCAAGTCCCATAGGACGGGGCTAAGTGGGACCCAGACTGGAAAGACTGAAACTGACTCTGCCGCTGTGTGCGTGTGTGTGTGTGTGTGTGTGTGTGTGTGTGTGTGTGTACGCACACACACTCCTGGGGTCAAACACAGAGCTTTGCACATGCTAGGCAAGCACTCTGCCACTGAGCTACAACCCCAGTCCAAAGCAGTAACTCTTAACCTTGGCTACCCTTAGAACCACCTGGGAGCTTTAAAAAATCTCAGGGAACAACAGCCTTCCCAGTACTTTGAAGATTGAGGCAAGAAGATCTTGAGTTTGAGGATAGCCTTGGCTACATAGTGAGACCCTAAGCTAACAAAACAAAACCCAATCCAAACAAAAACAATTTCTTTAAAATTCAGGGCAACACTCTAGATGGGTTAAATTGGAATTCTGCAAGAGGGAGCCTGGCATCTGTTTAAAAGTGGTTGTAATATGCAGAAAATGTTGTGAACCAGTGAATTATGGAAGGACTCAGCGAAAGTAAATGAAGGAAAGGAGACGAGGGAAAAAGTCAGGAACCAGTTGGGCAAGAGTTGCTGCCTGAGAGTTAGGATAGCTGGTGGGGCATTACTGCAGTGTGTGCTTGTAGGCAAGGGTCCTTTCCTACTTAGGAGATGGTGAAAACGGAGTTTTGGCCCCACCCCCAGTGTTTCGGATTCAGTAGGTCTCCAGTGAAGCCCTGGGTTATGTGCTGGCTAGGCAAGTGTTCTCTGGCTCCTTAACCCTAATTTGTAGTTCTAACAAGCTCCAGGGTGCTGCTGATGGCTGGCTTCAGTGGGGGGGGGGGGGTCACAGTTTAATAACATCTAAAATCCAAGGACAACTATGCAGGAAGTTTAAAAAGATTTTGGTGCTGGGATCCCACCCAAGTCTTCTTCCCAAATGCTAGGTAAGTACTTTCCTACTGAGCCACCCTCTCAGTCTCGCAGAAAGATCTTTTAGAGAGAAACATGTTTGAGCCATTTCTTTAAGGTCTTGCTGGTGATGTGTGTGCTTCCATCTCATAGCCAGAGACTTGCCTGAGTTTTCATCATTGTATCTGTCAACCCTGAAAGTAGCAATTTTATAATTCAGAGTAACTTAAAAATTCAGGCCCCGCCATTCACTAATATATCAGAATTCTGGGTAGGGGCATATTCTTTGAAACTTTCAAAGCTCCCTAAGTGATTCCATTGTGGAGTGCATCTGAGTGTCACCTTCCCGGAAAAGTGCTGCAGTACAAAGGCCCCAGCTGGCACAGGTGCACCCTCTAAGTGAAAGCCACACTCAAGGTCAAGTGTCATCATTTGAATCCCAAGCCTGTGTCTCTTCTTCTGCTCTCCCTCCCGGGACTTCTGACAATCACTTTCCCTTTTGGGCTGAAATGCTTAAATTTCGTTGGAAATTGGGAAAGATCTATAAGGTTGTTATAGGTAGCCAAGAACCACAGGCAAAAGAGAGGAAAACAAATAAGGTAAGGAGGAACAGACGGACCAGCGACAACTGAACGGGAGACGTTCCCCCCTACAACAGCCATCTTCTGAGAGGCTTTTGCAGCCTAGTTGGAGGCTGTGGGTGAAACTGTTCATGTTCCCCAGGGAGAAACCCTCCTTTTCTGATCAGGGTTTCAGCATAGGAAGTTCATTTGGTGGAGACGATCTTTGGTGTCCATTTAAATCACCTTAATATTGAACTATGACATAATCGGGTTTTAATAATGAAAACGTTGAATACAACCATATACAATCGAGAGAAAAAGTATGGGGCCTTCCAGGATCTCTCTCGCGCTCGCTCGCACTTTTCAGTTACCTTCCCCCCTTTTCTTGGCTCCATCGCAGCTTTGCCCAACCTTTGTCCAGCAAACCCCAAGTGGAGCGGAGCTTGGTACTGCAGGTGCGCACACCCGGTCCACACCTGTGCGGCTTGTGCAGGGCGTCCAGCAGGGGGCGGCACGTGCCAGCTCCCGGGGCGCAGCTCCCCGTCGGCCCCGCCCCCGGCCCGAGGACCCGGTGGCGGCGGGGGCGCGGAGGGCGCAAAGGCTGCGGCCGCCCGCGGTGACGCGCGGGTCCTCCCTCCACAGCAGAGAGTCCGCACCCACACCTCCTCCCCATACCTGAGCCGGGAGCGCCGCGCGCCTCCTCTCCGCCCTCCCACAACTCCCACCGGCCGTAGAGCGCCGCCGCCTTGGAGTAAAGGTCGCGCGGGCAAGAGCCAGCCGGCTTCGGCGCCCGCAGGTCCACAGAAGGAGGGAGAGGAGAGAACTCTCGGCCGGTCCAGGAACATGGCGCCAGGCGGGCGGGAGGTGGACTGAGAGGCGCAGGGGCAGCGAGCAGCGGGGCCCCGGCGCCCAGCCCGGTTCTAGCGAGTGCGGCTGGCGTAGCGCGGCGCCCCGGGCTCCGGCCCGACTCGGGGTCATGTCGGTCAGCGAGCTGTACAGCCAGGTGAGTGCGGGCCCGGCACAGGTGCGGCAAGGCGCGCTCGGGGTCCCCTTCGCAGCGGTTCGCTGCCGCCTCCCTGCCCGCCTCCTTGCGGCCTCCGTCCCCTGCGCCCCAACTTCGGTGGCGGAGAAAGTTTGACTGTTCCGGGAGCGCCCAGCACCGACTGGCCGCCTAACAGTCTCTGTCCCCCGCCCGGGCTATCGCCGCCTTCCCTCCTGGTCTTCTCCAGGCCCCGAACCTTGGGGGCGTATCCGCCCGCGGGGGGCTGAGGACAGGGCGTCAGCCTCCTGGGACACCCGGTCTCTCGGTCTCTCTCTCTCTTGGTCTCTCTCTCGGTCTCTCTCTCTGTCTCTCTCTGTTCCAGGTCCCCTGCAGCGCCCAGCGCCCCTTAAATAGCCTTTTTTTCGCACGTGACAAAGTAGGGATCCTGAACTTGGGAGTGAGAGGCCTGAGGAGCCAGCCTGGTGGGAGAGGTGCAGCGGCTGGAAGAGGGGCGAAGGCTGTGGGGTGGAGAGGGGCTGGACGGGTTTCTGGGGATCCCAGCGAAGCGTGTCTTCTCAATTCGCCGGTGTTGGGCATTTCGAGGCGTCCCCTTTGGGGCTATGAACTCTTGTGGGAGGGGGTTGGAGTGATGTAGAGCAGGTGGAGTGGAGGACTTCGAATGTCTTCAAGGTCAGGATGGGCGTGCGTGTGGGGCTCAGTACTCAGGATCAGGAAACAGGTGCGGCCCCCGCGTCGCGGGTGTTCCGCGGCAGGTGCTGTGATTAAAGTTAGGGACCGACCACCGCTTCCCTGGCGTCGGCTCACTCTGCTGGAGGAGGTGAGCGAGGAAGGGCCTCGAATCGCCCTCTCAAGCTCCCTGAAAAGTGTTTCGGATGTCCGGATGCCTGGTTTTCCTGTGCGTCTTTTCTGGTGGCTGGGACATGTTTGACAGTCTTGGTGCAGAGGGGTGGTGTGTACGCGCGTGCGTGTGGAGTGTTTGGGAGTCGAGGGGGTGAGTGTGCAATTCCTGATACACCGGCCTGGCCAACAGGTCTGGGCGGGGTAGGAAGAGGCACTTCCGCATCCTCACCTGGAGAGCGCTCGCTGGAGTCCAGCGCGTGGGGGAGCCCTTCAGCTCCTGGGGTGGTGACCTATCTGAAAAAAATTTAAATCTCTTTTTTTCTCGGGAGGCGGATCGGGGGATGGGGTCCGCAAGGGTTGACGTTCTCAGGGTGGTCATGAAGAGTGTCACCTGGTTGTGAGCGGGGCCTGCTTTGCATACTGCTTTTGGAACCCTGGCAGCGATCACCCATGGGTACCAGTCTCTCAGGAGAGGCGTGGAGAAGGTGCGGGCCAGGGCAGGAACTCTTTGGCAGTGCTGGCTTGGGAAAGGCACCCCACCTCTTTTCCCCGTGGGAGTCTGCGAAGGAGCCTTTAGAGTTCCAGCTTTCAGCTCTGACCCTGAGAGGCTTATCAGGAGCCTAGTCTGGAGGTTGGAAATAAGTGAGGCAGGGAAAAACAAACTGAGCCTAGTGTGCAGAGCTGAAACTGTGTTCCATGACAACTCGTGGAGCTACAGGCTGTACAAGTGAAATAAGCAACTCAAGTTCATGCAGTGTATCATAAAGTCCTTGAGTGACAGTATGTGATTGTGGCATTATGCGACACTAATGAATTTTATTGAAAACACTCAAGTTCTGCAGCTCTAGTTTAGAAAAACAAAACATTTATAGTGGATTGCTTTTAAAGATAGACCACTTGGAGGGGAAACAATTTGAATTTTAGTTAGAAGTCAATATATTGCATGTTAATGCGAATGGTGAATTAGTGGGAGTTTGAACTTGAGAGGCTTCAGTTACTTTTTCTTGAGTTCTAGAGCTGTGAACAAAACTAGTGTCACCAGGAAAGGACCTTGGAAGAACCAAGAAGGTGTAGAGTAGTTTCACTGGTGTGAGGGTTTGGTGTAATTAAGCCAAAATGAAAAGAGTTTCTCTTTAAAGCTGGTGGACTGCACTTCATGTTGTTAATGGGTTTCTGGTTCTTACTTATTTTTAGGTTGTTGAATCTAAAGTCGAGGAGATTTTCTGTGGCTAAGCACTAGCTTCCCAGTTTTCATGTTGAGCAGTTGTTGCTCTTTCTGGCAGAGTTACCCATTAGTATGAGAAAACAGGTTGTTTCCTAACCATTATAACCCTACTTGCCAGGCTGGATTATCAGTGTGCATATGAATCATAAATTATACAGAGACCTGGTGCCAGCTACTCAGATTCATTTTGTTTCTTGGGGAGATGATTTGTTCAGTTTGCTGTATTATTGAAATAACCAGTGTTCCCTTATAAGTATTAAATAGTTCTTGGTAATAACGTAGCATACTAATTCTAGTAACTCAAATACTTTTCCCCTTTACGTTTTTGCTCCTCAGTGTCAGGTTCATATTCATTTGTGTGTGTATGTGTGTGTGTGTGTGTGTGTGTGTGTGTGTGTATAAATTTCAGGAAAATTATAAATTTCAGGGGAAATTGTTGATTTTTGGAACTAACAAAGGACACTTCTCATTGACAAAGACAATTCTTTTTGCAGAACACCCAACACCTGACCCTTGAGAAATGTTCTCTTTGTAGTAAGAATGGAGAAAGAAAATCTGAGGTAGTGCCAGACACTTTTCAGGGTGATGTCAAGGTGATTCACCCCCATTTTCTCTTATAGAGAGGTGAAGTGGAGGATGGGTCCTGTTGTCAGAAGCGTTGTATATATGAAAAGTGTTAGTGGTTGGTTTCCAACCCAGTAGAAAAGACAATGTTGGCTTGATTTTGTAGGTCTAAGAAAGAGGCCCAAGCATGTACTAGCATGGTGATCATGATTTGATAATGATGATTGCAGAAAATTGTCTGGTTTAAAATATATGCAGCATCTTTCCTTCAGGCCTGATAGTACAATTTGTAGAGGGTTATTCTGGATTAAAATGTCAATACTGCTATTTTATCTATTTTAAAGAATGACATTTTATGCATACTTTGACTATAGTCAGCAAAGTGACTGGGAAGTCCTGAGCTAAGCCATTGTTCTCAGATAATCCCGTTTCCTGTTTGGCATTTAATTGGTAGGTAGTTTTTCATGAGTGAAATGAATATATAGTTTCAGATGTAATATATGTGTGTGTGTGTGTGTGTGTGTATATATATATATATATATATATATATATATATATATATATATATTTCATTTTTCTTCAAATGCTGGGGATGGAATCAGGGCCTTGCTCGTACTAGGCAAGCACTGAGAACACTCCAAGCCCCAGTTTTGAGTGCTGCTTGCTTACTCTACTGGCTGATACACCCTCAGCTTTGAGCCCAGGAACCTTTACTAAGAGTTCTAGTTGGAATGCCACTCCTTTGAAAAATAAAATTCCTATGATTTTGGAGCAGATGTCTTTTAGCTTTCCCTTACCTGTACCTCAAGTAAGTAGGCTTCCCCAAGTATTAGTCTCTAAGGCAACAAGAGTTCCCTGCTTCCTCAGTATCTACCCTCACCATTGGAGGAACAGATAATTCAGTTTTTCACTCTTGTCATCTGCATGTTGCCCTTCATTCTGAAAAGAGATGAATGGTGTTGCAGACTTGAAAAGTACTTGAAGATCCTTGGGACCAGATGCTGTCCCTATTACCTCACCTCCCCTACACTCTCTTCCTGTTAACTGTCTCTGTACTTGCTCAGTCTCAAGAGCCTCCTCCTGTGCCACTTCGTCAATACTTTCTGTAGCTGTCTTTGCCTGGGAGCCCAAGAGTTTACATCCTCTACAAAGGATGAGAGTCCATGAACAGTGGGAGGGTAACAGTGTTCGTTCATTGCCCTTGCTTTGAAAATTGGTATACCTCCAAGCCACGACCCGTTCTATGGCAGAATTCTTTTGTAGGGTTGAGCCCCAGGAAACTTGCCTTTGTACTTTCCTCAATATTATATCTCCTTCCTTTCCCTGTTCCACTCCCCACTCCCTTTCCAGGCTTTGCTCCTGCCACATCTCTTGAGTGGGAACCTTATCTCAGGATCTGACTCTGGAAATCCAAATTAACCCATAACTCATAGTGACTTGTTGGGGTAGATGTCAGACAACTCAAGTGGTTTGGCCTCATCTGTACTCATGGAAGAGGCTCTTTTTTGCCCTCCCCTGGTGGTAATTTATGTGATGTTTCATCTCCCCATTAGGATCCTTGTAGAAGAGAAGCCATTATCAACATTTTGGAAACCTTTGGTGATGAAACCACTAGAAGAGTGCAGGCCCCTGAGTTATACACCCTCTGTAGGGTGTTGGTCTGGTGGGCTGTAGTGCAGGGAGGGCTTCTTCCTGGGCAACAGGACATGAAGAATGAATAGGACTGGAATACATAAGGGAGAATACTGTCAGAAATGAATGCAGGGAGAGAGAGTGTGGGGACAGGAATGGTTTAGGTATATTTGGGGATAGAAATAGCACTATTTTTAAAACCATTTTGAGGTAAGTTTAGACTTCCATAAATGTTGCAAAAATTGCACAGTTCAACTCCAGGGTAATGATGCATGCCCGTAATTCTAATACTCCTCAGGAGGATGGTGAGTTCAAGGCCAGTCTGGGAAAGACCTTTTCTCAAAAACAAAACAAACCCCCAAACAAAAACCAAAATAAAACAAAAACAACCCACTAAAACAAAGTGTAGTTCCTTTTGATATTTTTCCAGATGTCCCTAATTTAACACTCAGATAACCAAAATCGAGTCATTTAATACTAGGAACTGATTATATAATGATCTAGAGACCTCTCTGGAATGTCACTAGCTTTTCCATTAATGCCCTTTTTCCTGGGCTAGGATCTCCTTTAGGGTCGATCCCAGGCTTTTAGTGTGTAGCTCCCTGACTTTTCTGTGCTGACATTTGCTCAGTGCCTTTGTGGTTGTCTTTTGTGACATGGGCACTTCTAGAGTATTGGCCACTTATTCTGTAACTTGGGTGTGTCTTTCAACTTGGTGTGTCCAAAGTCTTCTCATGCT